ATATATATTGAAATGTGTAAATACATATATATACTTTGGCATTATTTCCATACATATTTTCGTAATTAATCCGCATCCTCATCTTCCTTTCCACTGACATACAGATTGCACCCATTGACTTCGAGGGGTCCTATCCCGAACACATGAAGACCCTCCAGCAGACCCCCACACCCCTCTGGGCTCAACCGTCGATTCTGAATCTACCTACCGATCTATTAATAGAATCCGACGACGAGGTCAATTCCGGCCCAAAAACGAACTCCAGTGCCACGAATGGGTACACCTACGCCCACCGCCAAAAGCAGCTGCAACGGCACAAGCAGAAACAAAAACAGGCGCAAAGCCGAGCACGCTCTCAGCAACTTCTCAATGTCCACAGCACACTCAGCCAGTCCACTGCCCACACTTTAGGTGCACTCACCCCCGCTACTACTCACAGGACGCTACACACACCCGCCAGCACTCTGGGTGTAAACTCGCTCGCGACGACCCAGAACCCTCCCCACACACCACACACCACACAACTCGCCTCGAGTCTCCCGTCCACCTTTGCCACGCTGCCTGTCCTGACCCCCGCCGATACGGTCGCGCGCGAGGTGTATATGTGGGCCATGAAGGTCAACCAGCCTGTGCTCAGTGCCAAGGCACGCGCCAACCTCATGCGGCTCAGACGCGCAGATGAGACGGTCTTCAGGCGCAGAGATGTGTATGAGACGGTCATGCGGGCAGCGGATGACTATCAGTTCAGCGTACCCTCCAGGCGGGTGCTGCACTCGCTGTTTCCAGTGCATGATATATACTTCCCCGAGTATGTGCGTGTACTGGCTTTGTGTGTGGTGTTTGTGTGGTTGTCTCTGTGGTGTTTGTATTGTATCTATATATCGTTTCACACAGTACATACTTCCCAGGTTTGTGCGTGATACTGGGGTTTTTTTTGGTGTTTGTATTATCTGTATAGTTCGTATTGTCGAGTGTCCCATTGACAATTGATAAGCACTTCAACCTAAAACCCTAAAACACCATACACACT